ACGAGTACATGGGGATTACCTCACCTCTGATTTAATCAGAATAATGGATTAAATCGAGGCGTCAATTTGGTGACGAATATTTTCCTTTTTTCCTTTAAAATAATTTGAATTTATATTATTCATAGAAATTTTCAGCCGTGTGGCTAGTTCTTTCCGCGAAATAGAGATGAAATCACAAATTTGATAGCTGTTAATTAATGTGGGAATAATTTGACCACTGATGCACTACTGGAGATAATGAAGGGATAAATAAAATGAGGGAAAATAAAAGCGTGTGACTGGTTGGGCGTGCGAATCCTCAGATGTAGGCGTAGGTGCCTTCATAAGACGCATTCGCGGTCTCAGCAATATTGTGTTATGCAAATTGAAGCAATAAAGATGGCCGTGTCCCCGTGATTTTTGCGAGACGACGAAACTTTCGTCCTCCTGATATTCACCGGAGAGGTACAACTTTGTTCTTCAACAGTGGGAATTCGGTACAAAGTGTACGATCATAAAGTATATTTTGATATTCCGGGGTTAACTCGTCCTGGCGGTCCAATCATTAAAGAGGAAATGAAATGAATTTTTATGGTGATCTGGGAAGAGTTTTTTATTCGAGGAAGCGTTAAATTGTCGCGACTTCGCCCATCACATTTTTTTCCCTCATCGAGAAGGTTATTCTCCTCGAAAGCTGTGGGAATTGTTAATAAGTAGTTAATTCAGCTTGTGAATTAATTATAAATTTTTGAATATCGTGCTGTTTCGTAATTTTTTTTTAATCGTTCATAAATTTCTAGGGGAAAATCTATTCCTCGTGGTTTTAATTAGCGTGAACAAAATGGAGATAATGACAGGTCGCTCTAATGTATAAAAATCTTGGTATTAATTTGAGGTTTAAATAAAAAGAATAATAATCGTGAAAGATTAAACCGCCCATGCGCCTTCCACCACGGTGCAACCATAAAATTCATTGGGAATAACCTGACTCGGGGATACGCCGATCATCAAGATCCATCATCGATAACATTGTTACGGCATGCTTCAATGCATCGACTAAAAAATTTTAAAAGGTAGATAATAATATACAAATAATATACATTAAAAAAAAAAATCGACACTGAAATTGAACGGTCTCATTGGGATATAATTCTCAAATCACATTCCAGTCGAAAGAATTGAGATGAGAATTTCAAATGAGATATCGACAGAATACATCACCTCAAGTGATATATCAATCTTTACAAATTGATTTGAGCCGCCGTGAGCACCAGGAGGTGTCGGAAAATTCCGGAAATTAAAGGGGATTGATGGAAATTAATGAAATGAATGTATTGGAAATGCTGACGTCGAGGATGTGATACAGACATCAATATTTGTGAAGCCCGTCATCAATCAACCGATCGGGGATCAATGGAAATCTGATGATCGGTGGATTTTCCGGTGAATGTGGTACGGACAATTACCATGATAAAACGCACACTCGTCGAGGGAAACACATGTTAATTGGGGGAGATGGGGTATTATTATATCGGTATTATTATATCTCAATATGGAGCACGTTCGCACCGTTAAATCTGAAGGCGGCACGATTCCTCTGTTGCGGCGGTCACGCATCCTGAGTCATTATCATTTCAGGGGGGCACGTGGAATATAGCCGGTCTTCCTCAGGTTATATCGGGGAGGTGTCCGAAGAAAATCGAGTTGAATGGCTATGAGATGGGAGTGAGTTAGTGTCTGTAATCACGTTAGACTAATCGGTCCTGTAGGGGGTGAATCTCGCTAAAGAGCCCGCTGGGGCCCCTGGCCCCCCAAAAATGCCCTATTAACAGAGTCCCCCAAAAAAGTTGAAAAAAATCGATATAAAAACCTGAAACTTTATAAAAATGTAGGATTTTCAGAAAAAACGGCAACCGATTTTTTTCCAAAATCCCAGTTATCCGGGGAGGGACAATAAAAATTGTGGGGGAAAATAAAACGAGAGGAGAAATCCGCGGAATGCAGGTGGAATTTCATCGCCAAAAAAGATGTTGGAGCAAACCCACCTGGCGATAATTTATCGAGTGGTCTCAAGGGGCTTAATCCGTTAATAAGTCTCACTCCCACATTGGATAACCCCGGGGAGACTAAAAAAAAAAAAAGAAAATTTCAGGATGAAAAATAAAGGAAAACAATGTAGAGAAAAAGGGGATGATGATGCACGGTGCCCCTCCCTGTGAATTATTACTCTCTTTCTCTTTCACCCTATCTCTGAATCTGCGAGGAAGAGTCGAAGATGTTTCGCTTCTACACCTCTCGTTCTTCATTTCTCCCGTATTTTCTCTTTCTCGTCGCACCTTTTGAATCTACGGTGGGATAGATCGGTAGGGTCTCAAGACACCGACAGCATTCTTGGAAAATTTTTTAGGACTCCAGGGAGAAAATCACATAGCAGACCTGAAATTATATATTTACGTATTGATTTATTTAATGTTGTCTCTTTAGTGCTCGTAACCCGGGGTTATTTCGGCCCCTGGGGGTTGAAAATTAGTCGGCTACAGGGAAAATATTTGCCTGGGGTTGTTTATGGTGGATAAATAGAGGATTGTTCGGGTTAAATGAGTCGGTGGCGTGGCAGGGAATTGTTCACCAGAATTCCGTGTCATCGTCTCGTCTTTCTCGGAATTTTAATATATTACCTCTAGCTTCCGGTCGCATGGAGTTACAATTTTTCAATTTTCATACCAATTACCTTTTTGCAATCAGCATTGTTTGGTAGTAACAATATTTTTTTATTGGTTTCAGATTTTTCAAGGCGATGGACTCTTTCCTGTCAACAGCCCAGAGCGGTGAGTTATCATTAAGATGTTTTTTTTTTATTTATTTTAACGGTTGATGTGCATTAATTGCCGGGTAATGTTGCAAATTATGCGGAAATGGTGGGAATAAGGGAATAAAATACACTGGCAGGTTAACTTTCTTACCAGCGGTTTGATAAACGACGCCAGATAATTAACAACTGACTCTGGAGATGCCCTCACACGCCGTTGAGAGTTGAGCGTGGGCGCGTGATATTCTCTCGGCTACTCTTCAACAACTCACACCGCAATCATATCCGAGTCATCCTGTCCTTTTCCCTTCAATTCCAATCGTCCTCACGGTATCCTCTACCTCCCGTTCATTTTCACTCATTTTATTTCACGCGCGCGAAAAATTTACAGCGATTACTATCGGCGCGAAAATATGAAATACTTGCGTCCAAATTAATCCACATGTCAAAAATTCAGACAATCGCTGATAATCGACTGATTGCAGTTGAAACAAATGAAATAACTAATTGCTCTTTTAATATTATTGAAATTATTATTACACAGATGGAAACTTGTCTGGGATGTGTGGGAAAAGGGAGAGGCCGCTGAGAAATATTTTGAATGTACGACGCATTCCGAGGGAAAAGGGAGCCGCAGGTTCCACTTAGCATTTATCAATGATCGTGGTTACCAATTCTCAATATAGAGTATCGATCTCTCGTTATCTCCTAGAGAATTAAAATGAAAGTTTCCACTCTCGCCACACACGTCGACAAATATCCAGTGAAATATTCCGAATGAAAGATTTTAAAAAAATATGCGGACACACCGATACACCGACACCGTACAATTTCACCCTCTATTTTTCGGTAATTGTTTCACTAGCAATTGAAAATAATTTACCATGAGAGGCTGCAGGGGGAAGTGAGTGCTGTTTATTCGTTTCGTATATGGCAATGAGGAAATTGAAAGGAGCGGTTTCAATTGATTTAGTTCGTAGTACCTCGGGAGTACACGCGTGATATATTTTTCTTTCGGTCATGCACGTCGACATTAACGTTCTCTCATTTCAACAGTGCGTCTGCATATTTTTTCTCGTCCATTCTCGAGATCCCATTTTTATTTCTGAAGATGCTACCATACAAACACGGATGGTGGGCCCTTTGGCCCGGGAAAGTAAGTCCCGCTTCTTCTTCTCGTACATACGCAAGCATATATATCATATTGCCACATTAACCACGTCACTTCAGGACACTCCCTCGAGTACTCTTTGCAGTAGTCATTTCCTTCTTTGGATTGTCGAAAAAATTTATTCACGCTGTTGATTATTTTTCAAATGGGAATTCCATTTTTTTTTCGCACGATAAAAAAAAAGAACACGGAGAATTGATGCACGTCGATTTTTCGTTGATATCGATAATTGAATGCGCTGGAGGAAATTGTTAAAAAATATTGGTCAATCGGTTGTTTTTTGGGCGATCCATTACGCAACCCATTATCGATCCCCATCCCCACGGCAGAATATATCATTCCTCATAATTACACCCGATATACCTCGATCATGATCCATCCGTACATTTGTCACACTCGACTCGTCGATTCGAATTAATCGAGGCCCCGTGGTTAATTGATGGTGCCGCCTCCGCGATTCAACGGTGTATACCACATGAAAAACCCCGCGATTTGGCTCCCGTTGAGCACCAATACCGATTCAAACCCAGCGGGTATCATCTCTCGACGTATATCCGAGGAATACAAGTGGTACCCACCGCGAAATTCATCCGCAGAAAAAAATTATTTTTCCCATTCCGCTCTAGGCTCTAGAGGGCCCAGTGGGCGGTCAAATTTCACCCAAAGGTCAGGCCAAAATTCCTCTGCCAAAATACCAAAGGAAAAAAAACAATATCACCCCCTTCTCCCTCTTGAATGGCGCAGAAATGGGGGCAAGGGGCTTTTCCCACAGTCGTGTTTACGATTATTTGCAATCGCAAACGAGAATCGCAATCATTTGCTGTCGTTTACTCGAGACTGCGGGGGGTTGAGGCCCAGATTTGGCATTAGATGTCTACGTGTCTTCTCGGAATATTATGACTGGAGTTGAGTAGGACATGCTTATTGCGAATTTTACCAAGGGGTAACCGAGAGATGACCTCGCCCTGGTGATACCAGTACGAGGAATTAGCTGACTCTGTCCAGGATCTCGGATTACGTGCACTCGATATTTCTGCGTATGGGATTTTTTACCATTTTACTTCCTTCTTCGAATTCCGTCGACACTGTTTTTTTTATTAATTTCATGATTTTTCGGGGAAATGGAAAAGCAACCGTTGAATTTTCCGGGGATTTTTTTTTTTTCATTACCAGTTGATAAATTTATGGAAAACAACAGTTATTATAATGATCCGTCGATCGTGCATCATCGATCAAAAATTAGAAATTGAACCGAGTGATTGATCATATTGGTGTGGAAAAAATATCAAAGTCCAGGATGATGCCCAGCATTGAATTTTGGTACAACGGTATTTACTTGAATACAGACGTCAGTGTCTGATGATGTCAGAACGTTGAAAAATGGAAAAATCTGAGGCGTTAGACGGTGGCTATTTTATTTTTCAGATGAAGTCATCGGAGTCCACTGCACGCACGGTCTCAACAGGACGGGTTATCTGATCTGCAGATATTTGATTCAGCAACTGGGATGGAAGGCCGATGATGCAATCGAAGGTAAAATTTTTTTCCAACACCGATAATTTGTTAAAGTCCTCCAAAACCTGTTAATTAATTAAAAAATCATATGTTTAACTCCCGAACATCGAGACTCATCTAATACATTTATTCCAAAGCATTCGAGGAGGCGAGAGGGCACAAGATCGAGCGCCAGGCGTACGTCGATCACTTGAAATCGATATCCATGGAGAAAATCGATACATCCTCGGTGAATTCAGAGCCTTCATTGAATTTTGATTTCAATAAATTCAGGGCGGTATGTTCCAAAGCGGCTGAATATGAGCTACCGAAATTATGCCCTGAACGACCCCCAGAGAGGAGATGGGCGCAGGGCTCATGCCATTTTTCACCCCCTCAGTTTAGTGATGTGCGACGTGAGGGTGAACCCTCTTGTGAATCTTTTTCACCAGGAAATATGCACAGAGGACCTCTGCCTATGGGACCACCAGATTATATTCTTCCTCATCTTAACCCTGAAACCTGTTCACCAAGACCTTTTTTCCAGCCCCCAGATCGTCCTCAATTCCAAAGTCTTGTCGGGATTCCACTGGATGATCCTTATGATCGTCAGAACAGGTTTGCAACCCAACTTGGACCTATCCGAAGCATTCCTGATCGTCATCGTAATTTCAGGCCTCATATGTTTCAGGATAATTTCTCAATCTCTAGGTCGTCGTTGTCACGGAGAAAAAGACGACGATCGAATCGATACCCGTATTGATGTACCTCCAGATCTTCATAAATAATTATTTCGATTGATACGAATTGGTTGCACGAACCAAGTGTTTCGCAAAGATAGAATTTTAATTTTACTGGAAATAATTCAGTGGCGAAATGAGAAATTGAAATTTTTCATTATTTACCGATTTGTCTTGAGAACTATCGATTTTTTTTCAACCAACCTTGCCAACGCAAAGAAGGGAAAAAATTGGTAAAAAAAAAGGTTAAATCCAATTGTGTAAATTGAACTTGAAAGTTAAAAGTTCAACTTGAAAATCCCATTATTTTGTGCAAGGAATTATCAATGAGATCGATTTAATGTACATTATTTTCAATAACACGAAATAAATAGTGGTGAATCTATAAAGCAATTATTTGACGAAGTGATGAGATTTAGGGGGAATCAATTCCGTTTAATTGCCAGTGGAGGCATGAGACAGAAAATTCGTTGACGTCTTCGACATCAATATTATCCATGAAGCCCTTACCTCCGATATTACCCTAATTATCCCTCGAAGATTGCCTACTCCCCGGATTTCGCTACATCCTTCGCTCGAGGTGGAATAAATAATTGCCCATTATTGGTTATTTTTCTCCCCTCAATATTCATTTTTTCCTCCAACCAACAAACGTGTAATACTGTTTACAAAGAGCGCAAATGTCCCTTGGAGAATTTCACGCGTGGGTGGTAATAAACGTCTAGAAATAACTGCCAATGGCGCACATGCAGTGATAATTGCACGATTTGTTCAGGATTAAGAGGGCAACTGTGTGAATTTACCCTTTTACTCCACAATTACATGAAAAAAAAAAAACAAAAAATTTGAGAGGAAAAAAGAATTTATTACGATTGAGACATTTTCCCATTTTTAACTCATTGTGAAAAAGGCTTTGATGTCTAAACTTAACAGATTAGATTATAAATTGCTTGGGTGGTATCAAGATCGTACATCTGGTAAATGGAATTAATATGTAATGCTAATACAGATAGCAAGATCGTCGAGTAATAAATACCACTGTATGGGCGTTGCTTGCATATCGTACATTTGCCTTTATGATATATTGTAACGTAATGTATTAATGGTTTTATTTTATCAAGGCATCTGGGTGGTAGGCAATGCCTCCCGTATTGTGATCAATCGATATTATCTCCTGCACTGACAATTCACATGTCAAACATATCACCACGCATCGTAAATGAAACGGTATTTAAATTATTCCATCGGGGCCTTTTATTTTATTGTCATCATTCATTCTCATTCTGAAAAATACCGGAAAAGCAAATTTTGGGAAAAACAAATGGTGAAATGGTGAAATGGTGGGAGGAGTTGGAGTAAAAATCAAGTGATTGAATTTGAAAATTTGGGAAAAGCTGGGATGGGGCGTTGATCTCTCACAGACAGGAAGAGACCGATGAGGAGAGGGACGTTGGAAGAAGGTCGGAAACCGGAAAACTTTTGACTTCTGTCTGGGGGGTGAAAAGGGAGGAAGAGGATAGAGGGGATGAATGGCTGGAGTTAAGAAACTTTGTACCCGTGTTAGGAATCCAGAGGATGGGAAAACAATCGACCTGGAGGACAAACTTGGTGAATCACGGTGATATTGGACAAGAATTCTCTCCTGTCTCGCGGTAAAACGGTACTTATCTCAACCAGACACTAGATTTATCGATATATTTTCTCGAATCATGTACAAATTTATATTTATCTCTAATTCCTCAGTCAGTATTCAGAACGAAATTCAGATGAATCACTGATCGCTTTTTGCATTGTTTTTTTGGGAGGGTTTTTTTTTTTATTAATGATTCAGCAAAGTTTGGGGCATAAATTTGGTGGAAAAAGACTTGCTTATACAGGGACAAACAAGCCCATAAAGAGTGCGGGTATCTCCGACCCCGATTTCAACTACCGGAAGTTTAAACAGAGAGACAAGTGCCATTTTGATATTTTTATCGAGACGATCGTACTGTCAGCGAATTCACGACTTCATAGGCGCGATAAATATTACTGGTGGATGAGGATAATCCAAGGTTCTTCAGTAATATGATACAGGAGATTTTGGCCGGAGAATTTGCCAGTTTGATTGTCTCTTCAGGTTAAATTATCTCTCTCCCCCGTGATACTTGATCGCTCAATGCGCGATGGAAGAATTCTATAACGAATTCCATAAAAAATTTCCAAGGAACTTTCCGTTTAATATTTCGCCAGTCAATGGTGCAAATATATTTTTTTGTGGTTAGTAAATATTCTTGGCAAAAGGAATGATTCAGTTCAGCTGAATTTATTTGGTAAAATCATCCGAATTGTATGAGCGATAGTTGATCGTTTCATGTTGTTAAATCCTCCAACACATTGAACGCACACAGCGTCCAACAAGTGTTGGTGCACGCTTTTAATGGCACAGTGCCGGCCTACTTAGCGGTCAGGTTGATTAACATGCCAGTGATTAATAGTCGCTCCCTATGTTCGGTACCAACCCCATAATACGCAACCTTACCAAGATGGAGATCTAATCGCACTTGTATTTATTGCCTCGACGTCGTCCATCTCGAGGGCCTCCCGCGCCGCTTTTCCATTATACTTTTTTGCTCAAAATTGTTTTTCGAACGGAAGTTTCTGTTTTTTTCTCCCAAAAACATTCTACACGACGTGTACAATGCTAAATTATTCTCCCTCGGGGCCATTCCCCCCGTAAACACCACTTCCAAACCGTTGACTACATCCACTCCGTGAATTTTACTGTAAACAAAATGTTCAATTTTCAATACTTCAGCGGTGAATACGTCGAAAGACCCCGGGGTATTTCAAAAAATCCCCATAATTCGCGAGTCATTGGATCGAAAATGGTACATGATGTTGAATCTGTTGGAAAATTGATCCACCGAATTGTTTTAAAATTCAGATGTCCACTCGGTCAGTCGTTCGATTTTTCAGTCTCATTTTTCCATCCAATATCCGAGTTTAACCAGTGAAATTCCATTGGAGCGATTTCACCGTGGTGGATATGCTGTTGTTTCGGTAAATCCTCGATGATAGCTTCCAGTGTTAGTGGTTATCCTCATACTTTTTTCGGTACATCCTACTTCATCCTTACCAGGAGGAAATACGCTGTTGCTGTTACTCTGGCGCCACATTTATCTAACAACACCATCACAGGGAAAACCGCCGGTTATATTCGCGCATCTTTTGCGCGCACATTTTTTCCCCTTTTTTTTTCATTTATTTTTGTTTATTCCATTATTTTTTACGGTTCGACGAACCTCCTCCGCACCTTTTCATGCGGAGGTATTTCAATCAATTTCTTTAGGGAGGGATTAATCAAGACAACGAGTGTTTCGGGTAATAAACATTCCGTGTAATGTTATCTTCAATTCAATATAATCCTGCATTCTTTCTCGCGATATCTGTGATTTTTTTCACTCCCCAAAGTCTCAGATTTCTCGTATGGCTTGAGTTTCACTGACGAACAATCAAGTCAACGGTTTTATGGTATTTAACGGCTGAAAAATGCGTTAATAATAAAGATATTAAATTTAATTAATGCGCCAGCTACAAATGCGCATTCGGTTATCGCAGGTACAGCCACTGATAATAATTAATAAATAATTACACAATCCTGGGTGATAATCCTTTCCGCCAATTTTTCCGCGGATCGCGAGCGTCAATAAATGAGTCGATGACTATTGAACAGAAATAGAATATCAAAAAAATCATACGAAAAATAGGTGTTCGTTTGTAAAGATCCAAGAGTCACGTTGATGCATGGATGTGCGAGCGATTCGTGCTGCGTGAGGAATGAGATGCATTCAAAGGATTTAAAATCGAAAAAATAAAAATCAGAGAGGAGAAAAAGTGATGAAAAAAAAAATAATGCGAAAGAAAAGAGGAGAAAAAAAATGGCGTGGCCAAGGGACTGGGAACGAGCTCGTGCCCCGGTATCAGTGATCTGCCAAAATGTTCTCTCGTCCCTTTATGGGAGGGCAGGGGGGCGAAGGGGGCGGTTAGGGGGTCACAGGGGGGTAGGGCGCGCGCATTAATTGAAATCAATTCGTTGGCGCCGTGTGGTAGCCGCTTCTGATCCGAGAGATCCTTGCCCTCGAGAGATAGATCCTTCAATATATAATGCCATTTTTTTCACCATCTCTCAACCGAGATATTTAACGATCGTTCAACGCACACCGGCGACATGTTAATTAGCTGACACGTGAGTTTTAAATGGCCCTCTTTTTTTCGAATTTACGACGCATGCGCCCAGTGATTTTTGCGGGTGGCGCGTGGGTGGAGTTACGTTTCAATCAATTTTCATGTTATTTTAACAATCCGTTGGAATAGAATAATGATGTTTCTTTATTTTTACAATTTTTGGGTGAAAAAATATTAATATATAAATATATTCAGTGGAATGAATAAATGCGGGAGTAATTGGTTTCGCGTGTGGGAATTGAATGAATAATTCGAAGGCATCAACAGCTGACCCATTTCGCCTGTCAGAATTGGCGAGAAACTAAATGAGAATTAAAACAGATTGGTGAAAATATAGCGCGAGCAAATGAGAGGGTTTATGACCGAGTGAATGTCAACGTAAGTGAAAAGGCCAACGAGACAGGAGAAAAAATTGGATAATTTTTCGGACCCCCCCCCTTTTTTTTTAAATCCCACCGTCTATTATTGCCACTTTTTACTTGATTTTTCAACTTTCGTCGGGGGATATTCGTTGGTTTTTTTTCTGTTCTCCCCCCTCTGGTCCCCCTTCCCCCTGCCACCCTTTCAACCCCCTCTTGTTACGTCCATTCGGCGCCGACGCACAGTCACGGCTAATCGTCGAGCTCGTTTCGCGGGTTGCTTGAAACTTTAAATGAATAGCCGCGGTTATTTAGTCGGATGTCAGGGGCTCTCTCACTCCTCCGACGGGGGTTTTTAAAAGGGGTAAAAGGCGGGTAGGGCTGTCATAAATTTAAACAACAATTAACATTCGAATTCAGATTCCTTTCCCACAGACTTCAGCTCCGGGGATACTTCATATTCTTATTTCTCTCATTTCTCAACAATCCACTGGATTAATACTTGATCTCAATTTCTACTATTACATTTTCTATTGATAATGCCCATTTATTATTAACATTAAATGAATAAAAAACAGGAAATTTAGGTA